ACCCAGCATCAGTTCCTTGTTCATTTCAATTTTCAGTAACACAGCGCCTTAAACCATAACTCTCCGAGCTTTATCTCCCTAATACACAAACAAGTTCAAATCTTCTCACCTTCTTAAACATAAATAACAAAGTCTCACATTTATTTTTTAATAATTATAATTTAAAATTTTTAAACATTTTTAAAAATTTATATAATTATAATTTTAAAAATTAATTAAAATACACACATTCATCATTCATCGTTAGAAATTAATTAAAATACACACATTCATCGGAACAACTACACTACATTGATTATAAAAAAAAAAACCTTAACTCAAAAGGAAAGAAAAAACCTTATATTATAAGAACACATATCCCAATACTTTCACCAGTAACTATGAAGCCACTTCACTATCGAAGCTTCTCTACTAACCCCCCCTCCCCCCCAATAAAAAAGATTAAAAATTTTCTATCCATCAAGTGAAACCCACCTTAAAAAACCCTAAATTACAACACCTAACCTGATAATTTAGTGAATTAAAAGACACCCAATAACAATCTCATGAACCCATATTAAAAAAACGAAACTTTTACAAATTATAATCTCAAATATCTATTTTTTTATGCACTTTCTCAGCAACCAAACAGGAAGCAATAAAATTCTGACTGAACCTGCAAGTCAGAATAAGTAATATAAAAATAAAAAAAGGGTTTTGTCGGAGCAGGAAGGGGCTAGGTAGCTAACCAGAACCAGTGCAGTGAACGGTTACGTTTTGACCAACAGTTGGTTTTGTGACCGGTTCCAGGTCTGATCACCTGCTACTCCACTCCCATGATTGTGTTTCTGTCAAGCTGCTTTGGTTTGCTTTTCTTGTCCTTTATCGCTGCTTGCTATTCATTGCCGGACTAGGGGCTGGCTGGGCCCGGAGCTTGGATTGCCGGTTTGTTTGGTTAATAAGTGATTTGATAAGCAACTTAGATTCATTTTAAACGACGTTGTTTTGAAAAGATTAAAAAAAAAACCTTGAAATTATAGTTTTGGATATAGTTCTTTTAAGAAAATTAGAGTAATTGACCCGCATAGATCTTATCTTAATATAACGAACTATGATTGCCCGACAAGTTATCAAATCAATATTTTTTTTAATTCTAAAAAAAAAAAAACTCAAACAAGGTTTCCACTTTCCAGTCAACCAGTCATCGTCATTAGCTAACCCATCATGCCATACCAAACTTATTAACCATGCGCATGGTATTAGTAAATAAAACTTGGCAGCATGTATTTTCTCAATTAATATTATCATTTATAATTATTAATTAACATTAACAATAAATTAAAACATTTTATAAAAGTACGGTAACAATAAATAATATTTTTATCAAATATTTCGCTTAAAAATCATGTCTTTTTTTTTAATCTTTGATTTTCTATATCAATATTTTTTTTATAATTTTATTTTTTAATGTTAAATTTGTTTTTTACTAGATTATTTCTCTTATGACATAAATTGTTGGTTTGAAGAGTTAACCTGGTTGATTAAGATTTTTTTAATTTAATTTTTTTTCAATTTTATTCTTTAATATTATATTAATTGAAAACTAAATTTCATGATTTATTTTATTTATTTTCATGACCTGAAAATAATGCTTAACAGGTTCATCTGAGTTGATATAAGTTATTTTTTGTTTTTTAATTAAATTTTATCATTTAATATTAGTTCAATTAGGGATAGAATTTCATAACCTGTTTTGACTTATTTTCTATGATAATATCTTGGTTTTATAGTCAAGGTTACGAGTTTTGGTATTTTAATCTCAGTTAAATTAAATAATTTTTTTAAGACGTTATCTTGCTCTCATGTCTTTTAACATTAGATTTGTTTTTTATTAGATTGTCCCCTTCTCATAACTCGGGTTACGGGTATGACAGGTTAATTATGTTGACTTATACTTTTTTAATTTCATCATTTAATATTATATTTAATTGAGAATTATGTTTTATAATTTATTTAGAGTTATTTTTTATGTTCTTTTTTAACTTATTTTTTTCAGTCTCATCTTTCAATACTAGATTGATTAAAAATTAAACTTCATAAATTTTTTTTTATGAGATAATCTTGATCTTATAACCCGAGTTATAAGTTTAACAGATTAATTCGAATTTTTTTTAATTATTTTTTTTTAATTTTATTTTTTTAATATTAAATTAATTAAAAATTAAGTTTTATAATTTATTAAATTCAATTGATACAGTTAAAATCTTCTTTGATTAGGAAAAAAAAAACATTAGCGATGTTTAAACATGCCTTCTATGTTAAAGAAAAATTTATCCCTACCACGACATGTCACTGATATAAAAAAAAAAAAAATCTAGAACATTGTTTTGCATTCAACCTAATCAAGCCACTGAAGGCATGCTAGCAAACTGGACATATTCAAGGTTTGGATCAACAACAAAGAACACAATAAGGAGAAAAAGGAAACAAGAAGATTATACACGCCACCAACTCTAAGATCAAAACCACCTAAAAAGGAAAGTCTCGGGGCTAACATTGGAGATGAGAAAAATTAGAAGCCTATCCAGAGATTGTGAAGGATTGAATTGGTAAGCTAATTGAGGATTGTAGGTCATTGAATCGGCAAGCTGATTGAGAATTGTAGGTCATCAAGGCAAGAATCATGGAGGAGAACTAATGGCTAGAAACTGGTGTATATAAAGCACACCAGGTGTTTATCAAAATAACCCAACAAAAAATTAACAGATAGAGTTACTTTCTCTATAAAAACTAGGGTTATGTGATCAAGCATGTAAAAAGTTGATCTTGCAAGACTACAAGGACAAAAGTTTGTATGGTTACAAAAAGAAATCAAGCAAGCAAGCAGTACAAACTCTCACCGTCATCCTCGAGGATTGGATTCCCTATGATTTTCAACCACCTCATCCTCCCTCTTGGTTGCCTTCGTACCTTACAATAGTCATCTTACAAGTTACCCAATCAAATCTAGGTATATTTTATTTTATCCAAAAAAGTTTTGTTTTATTTATTTTTTTTAAATTTATTTGTTTAACTCTAGACAAGTTTTTCATCAAATTTTAACCAAGATAATCAAGTCACGGATTAATTTATTAAATTATTTAAATTTAATTAAGTTAATTTTAAAACTTATTTAAATTAAAACTTAATTTTATCTAATTTTTGGATTAATTTTGTAAGAATCAACTTACCAAGTTGTGCCAAGTTTTATAATTATAAAAGATAATTAAGCACATCAATTAAAGCTTTTAAGGTGTTGGTTAAAAATATGATAATAATTACTTTTTAAAATATTTTTTTTAAAAAATATATTAAAATAATATTTTTTTATTTTTTAAAATAATTTTTAACATTAATATATCAAAACAATTCAAAAATATAAAAAATAATTTTAAATTAAAAAATTCAAATTTTGTTGAACTCCAATGAAAACAAAACCTCAAGGTCTATCAATTTTAACTAGATTTTAGCTAAGTTAACCAAGTAATAGATTAGCTTATTAAGTTAGTCAAGTTTAACCAGGTTAATATTAAAACTGGTTTGAATTAAAACTTAATCTAGATAAGTTTTTGGATTGAAATCCAAATTTATTAATTATAAAAGACAAGTAAGCAAAATAGCCCTTCAACACATTAATTAAGGTATTTTTGACCATAATTTTTACTTAAAAATATATTAAAATAATATTTATTTATTTTTATTAAATTATTTTGACATCAATAAATCAACATAATTTAAAAAATATATAAAAAGTTTTAAATAAAAAGTTTAAATTTTATTAAAATCCAATGCAAACACATCCCCACATGGTCTCCATAGAATATATCAGTTTAGAGAAACAATAAAGAGCAAACCATAATTTTTACTTAAAAATATATTAAAATAATTTAAAAATATATATAAAAATTTTTAAATAAAAAATTTAATTTTTGTTAAATTCCAATGCAAACACATCCCCCTAGAGTCTCCATAGCATGAGTTAATTTCAAGAAATAATAAAGAGCAAGTCATAATTTTTATTTAAAAATATATTAACATAATATTTATTTATTTTTATTAAATTATTTTTCATATCAATATATCAAAATAATTTAAAATTATATATAAAAATTTTAAATTTTTTTAAATTCTGATATAAAGACATCCTTATAAAATCTCCATAAGTTTGGAGAAACAATGAAGAGCAAACCATGAGATGCGTAAACTGCAAACTATAAAATGAATAGTCCAAAACCCATGCAATTACACAAATATAGTGATGGATGATTACTAATGATGATCAAAACACACGTAAGCTAGCAAGATTCAAGTCCCAATTCCAAGATTCCTCAATTAGGACACTTTTCTCACACGGCATTCTGAAAAAAACTAATGGAAGCAAAGAAAATCAAATCCTACAACTCATCAATCCAACGCTTAGCCTATCATTTCTGCGCCCCGAAGCCTATAAAACCAACACAACCACCTTTGTCCCCATTACTCTTAACGCCACACCAACAACAGGACAAAAGCTTGTTCACATTTGACTCTTCTCTCTCTTTCCCTCTCCTTGTAATCTCACATTTCATATTTCTGAACGACATTTGGGTGAGTTTTAGAAATCTGAAACGTGAATGGTTGGTTCTAATCTGATCTGGGTTTGGTGAGACAAAAAAGAAAAAAGAAAGAGAAAATAAGAGAGAGAGAGAGACAGAGAAAGCATGGAAATTGAGAGAATTAGGGAGTTGTTGCTCCTTTGGTGTAGAATTATAAGTAACCGTGTGGCCCTCGTGGGTGGAAACCATACAGCTTCCAGGTTTTGTACTCGCTAATGATCATTCTTTTCTTGTTGTGCTGGTTTCATTTCCTTCAAAGAATCAATCTTTGTGTTTATTCAAAGTTGTTGGCTTTTGCTACTTAGGAAGAAAGCTCGAGATTTTACTCCATTGTGGAATTAAATTCATTGTTTTGAGTGAGAAGCTAAGGTGGAAAGGTGAAAAAGGATGGAATCAGCCAGTGGGTTTTCGACCAAGGATCTAAATAAGATCATGCATTTGCACAATGGAGGGATTGGCTTAAATTCAGATATCATTTTGGTGCTTAAGCTTCCTGATTCCCAAGTAATGCGTGTTGTGTCTCGCTCGTTGTTTTTCGTTATGATTATTCTTGCATTGCCATTTATGGGGTCCATTTTACGGGAACTGAATTCAAGTTATTATCTTGACGTCTCTGGCTCTGCTTCAATTGATCTTGAATTCTTCGATTTGTTGTTGCAAGATTTGGCCAAGGAGGGCCTTATCAAGAAGGGCGATAAAGCTCTCATTGTTTTGTCCGGCGTTGGGGCTGTAGTTGATAGTTCAAGATTCTTGAATGTCAATGATATTGATTTCGTATCAGAATCTGATTTGGAGGAAGAAAGCTTGTTCCCGAATGCAACATTTGATTTTGCGTTGACATTGCACATTAAAGATGCAAAATTTTTAGATCGCATTGTGAAAGTTGGAGGCATTCTGGTTGCTCAATTGAGCAATGACCCCTCAAATGCTTTCCAAAAGACGCCAAATTATAGAGTTGTGTATCTTCGGCGATATGACTCAACCATCGTGGCAATGAGGAAAACGAGTTTGGTGAATCAGATAGTGAGTTCTTTGGCAAAGAGGCGGCCTTTGCAGCTAGCATTAGATGCTAAGAAAGAAGCATTGCAAGGCTTGGAAGATATTCTGCTTGAGCCGCCACGAAAGACTCTGGAAAAATCTAGAATGTACTTGAAGGGATTCAAATATCTTCCTGACTTGTTGGGAGATTCTTTAGAAGATTTCTCGCGTCGATTTTTCATTGATGCGGGCTCACAGGAGGAGGAGAATGGTGCAATGCTATGGTTTAATGAAAACTATCCAACCAGAAATCAAGACTTCGAGTTTCACAGCATAAACATGTTGTCTGAGGGAGTACCTGGGAGGGTGGCATCACCTGCTGATGTTTCAAATTGGTTGATGAAGAATGTGAGGGAAGATGAGTTCGTTGTGATGAAAGCAGAAGCAGAAGTAGCAGAGGAGATGATGAGGAGGAAGACAATTGGTTTGGTGGATGAATTGTTTCTAGAGTGCAACAACCAATGGCAGAAAGGGCAAAGGAAGAAGAGCAGGAGGGCTTATTGGGAATGTGTAGCACTGTATGGAAGACTGAGAGACGAGGGAGTTGCTGTGCATCAATGGTGGGATTGAAAAGGGAGACAAGACAGACCCTCATAGTTCTCTGTGTGTTTTGTGATTATTCTGCCATGTTTGGATAATTTCAGTCGTTAAACCTATCATATGAATCCACTAGATTCAATAAAGAACATAAGCAGTGGGATTTCTTGGTGTTGCGTTGTATAAAGAAGCACAGCATCTGTTTTGCTGCTGAGAGGGACAGGAATTGACAATTCTCCTTTCTCCTCTCTTTGACTCTTGTTATTATTCTTTAATATGTTGCCCTGTCTACCTTGTTCAGTCAACTCTATTATATTCACACAAAAGCTAAACACTATAGCCGTTCTCACAAATCACTGCGATTGCTTCCACGATTAATTATGCTGGCAGCAATTGCAAGAGAGAGTTGCGTGGTTTGTTAGCCACCAATTAATAGAAAATTAACATTAACAAAAAAGCTAAATTATGTGGAAAAAATACTCTAGGTACTCTTATAAAACACTGAATTTCTCCCACAATTGATTATGCTGGCAGCAATTGCAAGGGAGCCACCAATTAACACAAAAGCTAAGTCATAACTTTTTTTTTTATACACACACATATACACATATATGGGAGATAAGAGAAGATTTTTACACGGGTTGGAAAATTAGAGTTTCTTCAAAGCAATCTCATTGTAGTTTAATTCTCTACTATATTCCACGTAATTGCTTACATCCGCATTTAACTACACCAGGTTATGCTATGAAACTGCTCCATCTTATTCCAAGGACTCAAGACGACTTATTATCTCTTTTTCAATGTGGTTGCTACTTCACAACATCATCACTTACGCCACCATTGCCAAATAAGCCCTTCAAGCATAGGTCCAGAGTCGTAGGTGACACATGCTGACTCATATTGAATTAAAATGCTAGAACCCTCTTCTTTCCTTTTTATCTAGGGAGACTATCATGGTGGAGAGATTGAGAGAGAAATTGAGGAAGGATAAGAGGAAGAGAGAAATTAGAAGGAAAAAAAGGGGTGTTTATAGAAGATGAAGAGGAAAATAAGGAAAGAAAGGGGGAAGGAAAGGAACTAAAAAATTTAAGATGACAAATATTACTCAGAACTATGCATTAATAATATCAACACACCACCTTCAAAGATCAGCAAAGGGTGAGTAAAAGAGATGACAATCATGATTTTCGAGTTGCGCTATGGACAAACAAGGGCTGGCTTCCATTTCAATCTAAGAAAATATATATTTAGAAAATTACGTTTGAGGTTTTAATATTCAATGTTAAATTTTTTTAAAACAATGTATATTAATGCAAGCTATAAAATAATATATGAAATAGTTTATATGAATGCATGCTATAAAAAAATATGAAGTGTATATTAAAAAATTAAAAACAAATCTATGTGAATGTTATAACATATTGAAAAATTAAAAAATAATGCATGTAAATATAAATTATAAAAGTAATAATAATAAAAATTATAATATAGCTATACCATATTGAAAAATTAAAAAATAATTCATATAAATATATACTATAACATGTAAAGCTCAGTATTCATATATTAAGTTTATATTTTTTTTGAATTTATTAAAAAAAAATAAAAAAATAAAAAATCAAGTTTTACCTGGATTGACATTACAAGTCAACCAAGTCTGAGGTTAACTCGATGAGCTGTCTTTCAGGTTGACTCAAAGTATAACTGTACCGATTGCAATCCTAGGAGCTACATGCTAGGCCAAGCCAAGTTTTCTAACTGGTATATATCGTCCAACATGATCTGAGAACTATTTAGCCGCCATATATATATATATATATATATATATATATATATATAGACACACACACACACACACACACACATTCACCCATCAATTCAACGCAGTAGAACTTGACGGCAGACGTTTCTTTCTGCGACAAAGAAAAGGAGAGATTCTGTTTCACAACAGTCTTTGATTCCTGCATTTCAATATATATATATATATATATATAATTTACAAGACATATGACTCGTTATTTTACAAAGGCACAATTGCCATGCAGGCTTCTGCCCGAAGCTCAACTTACTTTGCTACTAACCCTCCTCCAAACCTCAGGAAAGAGAGAAGTTTAAAAATTGCTTTTGCCATCTGGGGATTTGGGATAAATAATGAGATTAAGAAAACAATGGGGCATTTGTTTCTCCATCATCTTCAGCTTCAGCTATGAACATATAAATAATGAGATTATGAACCCTGATTCAAATACCAGCTTCAGCTTCAGATAAGCTCTCCTGTTTCTCCATCAACAGGTAATCACAAAGTTCCAAAAGCTGGTCTGCAAGAGGAGGAATGCCAGGGTTCCGCCCGTCGTTGTATACATGGGCATTGTAGGCAATCTGCCACATATCGTGTCTGAACTCATTTCGATCCTTGTATTCCATCTTCCTAGCCTTGTCCCTAATAGTTGAAAGATCCATGGGACGTTTTATGATGTCCAGGTAATCAGGAGCCTCCTTCTTGGGGACAGGTTTCAAGAAAAGATAGGACACTTCTACCCTATCTTTAAGGGTATCCACAATACCTTCCAAGATGTTTGCCAAGCCAACCTATATGGAAGTTGAGAGAAATTGATAAACTTAGTTCAGGTTTCATACAAAAGCAGTGAAACAAAAATTTGCAGATACATCGATAGTCTCTCTTTAATATCTAATTAATGGTACAAATGCACCGATGCAGCAATTTGCTGTTTCTTAAGGGATATGATACTAAAGCTGGATTTCCACGTCCATCTAGGCAAGAAGATTCTATTTTAGCTGTTAATAATTCCCAATTAATAAAAAAATATTGCTCAGGATAAGTTAAGAGGCAAAGCTAAATAATGACCAGAGAGACGATCCTATCAAATCCATTTCATAAGAAAGTGAAAAGAAAGGGCGAGGCGTAGGTAAATTCAAGTCATTCTCAGTTACCACTAAATTGAGCAACCCCTAAGTCATTACACTGAGAGACTGCTCAAAACCAGTCAGGAGTGAACAGGAGAATAATAAATGGTTACTGACAAGCTTTTCAGAAATAAAAGCAATGAAGAGCTCTGAACTATGACTTTTAAATTATGGGGCTTTGCACCAAAGATATTTCTTCTTTCCTTCCGTTCTCTTAAAAAAAAAAGTGAGGGTGGAAATAAAAGCCAAGCTAGCACAATTTCACAAAAGACAATCTGACCAATAAAGGTCTTCCAACCCATCGCATAAAAGGAACTATGGATGACTGAATAACAGACAACATATATGCATAGCACAAACCATATGGAAGTAATAAGGTTGGAGCTAATTAGTACCTCTCCAACCCTACGACGCTTTGTTGCTGGGGTATGATCAGCACCATGTGTTCCCACATCAACAACAGGTCGCCTTTTGGCACCCCGATCTCTTTCTGGCATCCTTCTGCCATTTCTACCTCCCCTGTAGTCATCCAAGTAATCATCACTGATTTCGGGCTTCTTCATCTTCATCTTCTTCTTCTTCTTAGCTTTTTGGCGTTCTTCTTCATCCCAATCCCATCTGATGGTTTCAGTGTATCTTTTAATGTCAGCTAATTTTTCCTGTCCTTCAAGTGACCTCATTTCTTCTGCATAAATCCTCCTTGCTCTCTCTTCTCTCAGTCTCTCAGCAGTTCTCCTCTTCTCCTCCTCTTCCCACCATCTTCTGTCCTCAGCTTTTCTCTTAGCTGACTCTCTGGAAAAATCCATGGTTTTACCATGCTTCTCAAAACTGGATAGTTCAGCAATTTTTTTAGTCTTCCGATGCTCACGACCAGTTCTTCCATCCTGACTGACCCTGTCCGGATCAATAATCTCTTTGGACTGTTTGATAACAATTTTCTTTTGAGTCTTTTCTCTATCTTTCTCAGCTGGTGGACGTATCACAATGGAGGGTTTATGAGGATCAACATGATTTCTGTCTGTGTATGTTGGCGGTCGTATAACAATAGAGGGCTTATGTGATTCAATTTGGCTTCTCTCTATATCCATTGGAGGTCGTATCACAATAGAGGGCTTATGTGATCCAACCTGCATGTTTTCAGGTTTTGCCTTGTTAAAAATTTTGATTTTATTAACCTTAGCAGTAGACCTACTCCCAGTATCAATATCAGAACTGACTGGTCGGATATCAGAAGTTGTAGGTTGATCGGAATGATCTGCAGCTCCATCAGTAGGTTTATCAGAGAATTTCTCCGAGGAACCACACTTGAACTTCACTGGAAGAGATTTTGCTAAACTAGATTTCTCACCCTCGGAAACTTCAACTTTGGTTGCACTTTTGGAGACCATCCTTTTCTTCTGCAACTTATGCTGGGACGCATTCAAGAGATCATGAGAAGTGGATTTTCGGGAAGCCTTTTCCAAATCTGTAGTTTCTACAGGTGTTTCAGGCTCCTTTCCATACTTAGGGCAGTTTTTATTAGTCTTCATGTGTCCTAGCTGAAAAATAAAAGGTAAACCAACTACAACTGATAAATTCTTCTGAAGCATAAAAAAAAAAAAAACACAACTTGGTAAGTCACACACCTGTCCACATGCTCCACATACGAATTTCTCTCTTGCTGATTTCTTTTCCTTGAAAATCTGGGTTAAAAACAAATTAAGAATGTTCAGGGGAAAAAGTGGAAAAGCTAGATTTCCAAAGTTAAAATGGGTGCAATGTTTCACATGTTAAAAATCTTAAGTAAATGCAGCTATAAAATATAGCATGGCAGGCTATTGAAATACCAGCCATTGCTTGAACAACTAACAGTGCAACACATGATTACAAAGCATGATGGCTGTCCAGAATAGAAATATAAAATCTCAAATAACCTTAGGTTGCATCTATATCACTGCACAACACTTGGTATGAGAGTTGTATGTTATCACGGATAGAAACCAGAGGACAAGCCAATATGATACACTTAAGCTACGAAATGAATTCTGTGCAACCTTTTTAGGGTATGTGGACAACTTGATTTCTTTTTTAAATTTAGAAGTAAACTTCTAAGATTGGAAGTTGACGAA